CAGGACTATCTTGCTTCAAAGCTGAGGACTTGAGCTTGGCCTCCTGTTTGTTATCTTGTTACTGCTGCCCTTTGAGAGAGTAGAGTTTCTAGTCAGATAAGAGAAGAGGAAATCTTCTCAAAGCCCTTGTTGGTGTGGGAGAAAGAACCAAGACAGCTGCTCTAAGGATGCTTTGCTCTCTGTTCTTTGAAGGAACCCACTGAATTGGGCCTCACTTTGTCCGTGAGACCCAGAGTTTGAGCAGCATTTTTACTTCCTTTACTTTTCTTTCTGCCTTCCCATATGAAGCAAGTGGTAGGAAGAAAAGAGCCTTTGACTCATAACTAATCACAGTGTAAGATCAAAGAGAGGGAAGGAGCAATTAGAGCAGCCGCAAGCCCCCTTTCTTTTAAGAAGTCATTTTGGAAATGCTCTCAGGCAGGAGTGGACCCAAACAGGATAGGGGGCGTGGAGAGATGGAAAACCTTGTAATTTTTGCCCGTGAGGTGGGTTTTATGAACAGTAGGAAGTTGAAAGCTATGTGGGTAGTCCTAGCCAGGGAGGTTTTAAAAACAGAAAGTATAACCTAAGGAGTGTGTTCAGGAAATGTTCCTTCATTTCCCTAGCTGATTGTCATGAGCTTGAGAATTTGTTTTTTTTTTTTTCTTACAAAATGAACACTTTTATTTTCTATGCACAGGTGATTCAGAGTTTATAGAAAAGTGTGTGTTGGGGTTGGAGAGGTGGAGTGGTGAGCACCCAAGCAGGGAGCTTCCAGTGCAGATGAGCTTGAGAATTTAAGCGTGAAACTTACAGTGAGAAAGAGAGAAAGGGAAAGGGAGAGCTGGTTTCTGGCACTACCTCTTCTTGGCTTGGCTGTGCATGCCGTTTGGGGGCAGGTTTTATGCCCAGGAATCTTTTGTGGCTAAAGGCTAAAAGGCTGCCTGCCACTTGTCACACCTGGCCCCTTTGGGACCCACCACAGCTCTGAGAAGGTATTTTCTTGGACAGTATCTGATAACTTCTGTCCCCCCAGGATATGTTTAGGGTGAAAAATCACTGGTCTCTAGGGTGAAGTCTCAGTTTGCAGGAGCTGAGGGTTTCCTGAGCCCAGGAAAGTCCCAGGCAACCCAGGATAGTTAGGGTCACCCTGGGGCCTTAACTCAGAGGGATGTCACAGAGGTCGTCTGGGGCCTTGGGACATAGCTTTCCTTCCTTGGTATGTATTCAACAAGAATAGTTAATGGATCTCTGCTAGCTAGCGGTCTGAGACTAATCTGGTCCTGGAATCTGCTGGTCCAGGCCGAGCAATCACGCAAGGTAATTGACTTTCCCAGTTTATGGCTACTTAGGGGTGGTGGTGGCTGCCTAGAGGGGATGGAGGCCCACTCGTGAGAACTGGGGGCTCTTGTGTTCTTTTATGACCCGCATGTCTCAGGAAAGGGAGACTTTCTTCTTCCTCAGGAATGAAACAATGATTTAGAAAACACAAAGGAAATGATGCTAGTTTATGGCTCTCCTTTTGTGGACATAGAGTGGAAGAGAGAGGGGAAAGGAACGTGTTTTCTTGGGCCTAGACATTGTGAAGGGGAAGTTTTAAGCTTGTAGGTAGGAAGAGCTTACCTAGTTGGGAACAGCTGGGGAGTATGACATCTGATAGTGGGGACTCTGGGGCCTGGGTAAGTTGGCAGGAATAATGTAGGGTGACCACCCATCCTAGTTTTAGTACTGAAACTCCCATGTCCTGGGAAAACACTCAGTTGTGGGCAAACCAGTTCGGTTGGTTGCCCTGGTGGAGGCACAGGCCCGAGGATAGGCACGGAACAGTTTTGAGAAGAGCTGAGAACTCAGAGCTGTTTTGGAAGAAGTTAGGAGTCCAGAATTTAAATCACTCCCCACCCTCCCACTCCCTAATTTTTTTTTAAGCGTTCTGAATCAAGAAAACAAAATGTATGTGCAGCCTGGGTCTTCCTGGGCATCCCTAGTGTGTGAAAGCAGCTGGAGCCTGGCTGGAGTAGCTACTCTCTCTCTGAGCCAAGCAGCAGCTGGGAGTGAAAGGTCCCAGGCATGGGGATTGTTTTGGGGTGGAATGGATGCTGGGATCAAAACTGCAGCAGTCTCAAATCAACCTGTTCTGCTTTGTGGTTTTTTCCTAAAGTTCTTTTTGGAAAATCTCCCCTCAGACTATCTGCCATTCTGCAGGAGGGAGCTGAGGTGGAGAATGACTATGGCCTTCTCCCTTATAATTCTGATCTGGAGGGCCAGCTTCAGCAGCCGGGGAGGGTTCCACCGGCACACGTTGGCTTTCTGAGCACCCCACCGGCCTGCTCCAGCCAGTCTCCTCCCCTGGCTCTTAGGAAAAACACATACACCTGAGCAAGAACTATTTCTGTCCTTTAGTCTGTGGCATAAATGTGTCCCGTGACCTTTTACAATAACTCCGCTCTCCTTTCTCTGAGAATGTGCCCAAAGATATTCTTTTTCTTTTATATATTGGATAACACGTGAATGCTGGCGTTCTGAGGGGTTTGCAAGTGAGTCTTTTGCTCCACTCGATATGAGCTCCACTTTCGGCGCTTACCACTGAACCCCAGAGCCAAGGCCTGGCACACAGGTACTCAGATTGAGCTGTGAACAATTTGTTATTGGGAATGAGGGCAGTAAGCTAAAGCCAGAGGTTCTCTAAAGCACCCAGGAAGCTTTAAAAAAAAAAAAAATCTCAGCGCCTGGGCAGCACACATACCTGTTGCATTAGAATCCCTGGTGGATAAGGCCTAGGCATCAGCATTTTTAAAACTCTTCAGATAATCTTAGAGTGCCGGCAAGTTTGAGAACCAGTGCTGTAGGAGCTTGTTACTCAAAGTGTGGCTTGTGAATGCTCAGCTGCAAGCATCACCTGTTAGAAATGTTGCAGCTCAAGATCCATTTGAATCAAGAACTACTGAATCAAGAACCTGCTCCGTTTAGGGAATTTTCAAAAATTGTGATAATATATATCAACTTAACACATTGCCATCCAGTGGGAATCAACTTACAGCCGACTCTCCAGTGGATTTTCAGAGGCTTTAAATCACACAGGAGGAGATTGCCCATCTTTCTTCTACAGAACGTCTAGTGGATTTGAACTCCCCGCCTTTAGGTTGGCAGCTCATAACATAACATTTGCTGTTTCAATACTTCTCCAGAGTACAATTTAATGACATTAATTTTTTTGTCATTATTTGTTTCCAAAATTATTTAGGGTGATAAAAAAATAATTAACCTTTTAATAATGACTCCAGGAGACTCACAGTCACTTTAAGAAGCATTGATGAAGGTTGTGGGGGACACAAAGAATCCTCTGATAACTAACTAATCTTTCCATGATTGAAATACTTTCTGCTTTGAGATCTTCTTGTCGATACTGTATTTTCGGTTATGGAAAACATGTTGAAATCATGGAAACATTTTTTGAAATAGTATAGATTTTGAAACAATTATATGGGACACATATATATCCCAAGTGGACAAATATATCCTATGTAGCAAGACTGGTGGAGTGAACTCAGCGTTTTAGGATTCTCTGCTGGATAGCACCATGTAATACAAGTGGGATAGGAGCTTCCCAAGAAACAGTAGAGGCTGAAAATGTTGGTGGACAAGATATATCTGTGGGTCATGACAGAGTTAAGGCTCATGAAATGGAGAGTAATGGTAAATAAGACTGGGAGACAAAGGCACTGTTCTGCATCCTATTTTAATGAGTAGCGACTGATATGGAAAGCTCTGACGTAGCCATCTAACGTGCAACTATTGATCTCTCTGTGTTGGTACAAAGAAGAGCAAAGAAAACCAAAGACATAGAAACAGTCCAGAGGATTTAATGGAACATGTACACCTCAGCTGCCATGACCTTGAGACCAGAGCTGGATAATACCTGCCCACCACTGCTGATTGTTCTAAGAGAGATCACAGTAGAGGGTCCTGGGGAGAAAAATGTGGAACAAAACTCAAATTAATGAAAACACTAGGCCAGGCTTGCTTCTGAGCTGGTAGGATAGGTACTAGAAGAACCCCTGAGACTATGGCCCTTAGTCATCCTTCAAGCCTGGAATTAAACTTATCTCTGTGACTCAACTTTCAGTCAACAGTAGATAGACTGATAAGGAGAACAAAAGCACTATGACAATACATCCTTGCTCCTTAGAAGAATCAACCAAGGGTGGGGGGTGGGTGGGAGAAGAGGGGTGAGGATGAGTAGAGGTGAAATCACAGCATTGCACAATTTTGTGGGTGGAGAGAGCAGGTAAAGGAAAGGAGAAAGATTCAGCAGGGACCTGAAAAGACAGGGCAATGATAGGCATAACCAATGGTGATTAAGTTTATAAAACATAATGCATTGGAATTGTATCAAATTAAATTGTATAAAACACAATGTGAATGAAGAATTGTGTGTAACACAATGTATATGAACTTTGTAAGCAAACTAAGATAAAACTAAAGTTAAAAGAAAAAGGAGGACTCAACTAAACAAGATCAAATGGTCGGCATTTACACAAGGACAAAGTAGATAGGGATAGGCTAGAAGGACTGAGGGAAACCAGAATCTCAGGGAGGAGATGGGAAGAGTGCCCATACAGTGTTTTGTGTACCATCGAGTTGGAACCAGCCTGTAGTTGACCCTTCAGTGAGTTTTCAGAGGCAGTTAATCACACAGCAGAAGATTGCCTATGTTTCTCCTGATACGATGTGGAGACTGTATTTAGTATTACAAAATAACATGTGTTATGCATGGTTGAATGGGAAGCCAATTTGCTCAGTGAATTTCACTCCACGTCTAATAAAAAGTTGGGTTATTTTTGTGGTTTGTCTTTTTAAAGGCTGGGAGGTAGGCCAGGGCTGCCCTGATAAAGGCCAGGCTGGAAAACTTGGACTTTATTGGATAGGCAGTGGAGAGTGATGGGAAGATTTTGATTTGATTGTGTTTTATGGAATTGATCCTAGGATCAGGTATCTTAGCATGTCAATACCTTCTCCTCCAGGTGCTGCTCCCAGCAGCCAGCTTGCTGCAGCTCATGGACGTTCGGCAGAACTGCTGTGACTTCCTGCAGTCTCAGTTGCATCCCACCAACTGCCTGGGCATCCGCGCATTTGCAGACGTCCACACTTGCACCGACCTTCTGCAGCAGGCCAACGCCTATGCAGGTAATGGGAGCTGGGCTGCTGCATCTCCTCTGAACCGGCATAGTTAATAACCTGGTCTGCTGTGGACTCAAAATTATGAGCAGTGGCTTCTGCTGCGCTGCAGTTGTAATTTAGTTAGCAGGACAAGGCACAGGTGGAAAGATAATTAACAATAGAAATGATTAGCCCTTTGTCAAGTAGAGTGTGATTAATTGTCCAGTGGATGATACAGGCAGTAATTTCATAAGGAAAGAGAACTGAGAAGATGTGGTGTGGGAAGAGTAATCTGAGCTATGTCTTGAGATTAGTCTTTTTTATCATTGTTATTTAAGACAATTTAAATTTTGATCCAAGTGTTCTATGAGCACAATTAGTACACCAAATGCTGTTGTGAACCTGATAGTAAAGGTCTACCACTTTATCTGTCACCTAAGGTCTTGTTCTCCAGAATTAATCATGTTCAGTTCTAAGATAACAGCAGTTTCTGATTCCGCTCCAAGTTAGTTTGTCTCTCATTTACCTCCCTATACCCAAATTGCTCTGGTCTAGTGGTGTGGAGTTGTGCTGCCAACCTAAAGGTATGTTGTTCAAATCCAAGAACTACACTGCCCCAGAAAGATGCACGGTCTCCTCCTGGGCAGTTAACAGCCTCTGAAGGTCAGCGTTGAGTTGGTTTTGACTCCACAGGACATGACAACAGTAACACCTAAGCAGTATGCTTACTCTGCTGTGCTTTGATTCATTAGCTGAGACAGTATCGGTTGAATTCTAATGGGGTTGCTATTTCATACTTCTACTTAGACATGTATGTGTCTCTTTCATTTGTTCTACTGACATCATCCCCACACTGAGTGAAGTCATGTATTATAGCTACAGATTTTTTCTTATCTGTGAGCATTTTTTCAACTGGAAGTTAATGATTGCCTTTTCTCTGTGCTTTCTGTGTGTCTCTACCATCAATTCTTACCAGATACGAATGAATACTCCTCAGTACATCAGATGATCTATTGATTCCATTTTCTTTTTCTGAGACCACCCTCTGCTTCCAGAGCTTGTCTTCCTGTTATTTTAATGAGGTTTGGGGGAGGAGTGAAGATGGATGTGAGTGTTCAGTCAACCATGTTAACTGGAAAGAAATCTTCATTGCTACTTATTTCAGCTTGAAGATAAAGGTCATGGATGACCCAGGGAATAGACCTGGTCATTTAAATGGATCGATTTAGTCATGGCCACCTCTTCCCTCTGCACTAAAGAATCTCACTCTTCCTCCTGTGCAGACTGACACTCTGGTGCTTGCTGTTTGGTTCTGTGCCGTCTGTCCAGCCAGTGTCTGGAAATTAACTGAGGTCCTGCTGGCTGCCCACCTGCCAGCTCTTTGTGCTGTGTTAGCCCCTTGGTATACCAGATGAGAAGCATTTTGTTCTGTTTTTTGGATCCTTTTGTTCTTTGGTCAAGCCCTTGGCTCAAGAGCCTGTACATACTCTCATTTCTTGATGATGTCTGTTACTGAACCTACAAGTGGGACCCAGAGTGAAGATGATGATGATGATGATTTTTGTGAAGGATTCAGGTAAGCCCAGTAGTTTACCCGAATCTGCTGTCTCCTGGATCTTAGCTTGCTGGGCTCTGCTGTCCATTTTGTGTCCCTTTCCTTGCAAATTCTCTACCTTTCTTAACCTTTCATCAGGGTGCCTTCTCTCTCCATGGAGTGGGCTCCCCAGTCCTGCCTTTGCTGATGCCACTTTCTTGAAAGATGTGCTTAGACAGTGGAGCCCAGAGCTTAGTCAAGGCCCAGGCCCACATTAGAAGATCTGCTGGTGCAGTGGCAAAGGGGGCATGCTTAGATATCAGGACTTGTCTCCTTCCTTCTTTGTCTCCCCTTCTGACCCTCCCCTTCACAACTGTGTGCCTCACTCATCCCGCCCTTTGTGGTTGGACAACACAATCCTTGGGTATTTGGGAAATGTCATGAATCTCAACTTTTAACAGAGTCTCCTGGGTTTTCTGACTTGGCTTTCCCCTCCATTCTGTATCTGTGTCTTCTCTCTGTCACTATCAGGTGATGAAAGATCCGTGGGAGAGCTGGGAGGTGTTGTAGGAAACACACATTTACTACTAGCAGCTTCCGGGCTAACCGTTGTCACGGTGCCTGGGCGCTGCCAGCAGTGTGGACACAGTATGCACAAGTGCATATGCAGAGACCCTGATGGGTTATTTTTGGCTAGCATTTATTGAGCTCTCACACTGGGTCACACTGTATGCTAAGATTTTATGTGCATCACCTTGTTACTCAAGGTACAGCTGAACAAACAGAAGAACAGAGAGGTTCAATAATTTTCCGAGGTCACCTAGCTAGTAGAGACAGAGGCAGGATTCAAACCTAGGCAGTATTGACTTCAGAGTCAGTGTTTATAATGACTTTATAATGTTCCACTGCTTCCAGAGTGAGTTTGGACATAAGGCAGCCCTGTGAAGCAGTAACTCAGGAGTGTAGGCGGCTAGAGCTGGTGTTTTGCATTAGGAGTGTGTGCCTGGAAGACTGTCCCATGTAATCCCCAAGTACTGACTACCCAACCAGACAGTGGAGACACTCAGCTGTCTCTGCTAGACGCAAGATGTTTAGTCGTCTTGTGGAGGGGGCTGTGAGATTGTAGGTGACTTCTTCTTGTCTCTTTCCCCACTGGCTGAGTGGGCCTTTGCACTTCCAGCGTTGATCAGCATGGTGCTAAGGCTTAGCACCTCCTCCTCCCTGCCTCTGGGCCCTTCCGTGGAGCCTGTAACCAAGTCCTGGAGAGCTTTCTTTGCAGCCTCTGCCATGCACAACAGTGAGATCATATTTTTGAAGGCGCTATGATAAGGCAGGATTGATAAGAACATGATGAAAAGACACGAAAAGAAGCATTGTGAAAGTAACACTCTAGAGAAGCGAGCATATTAAATGTGATCTATGCTTATGTACCCTATCCACTCAGTGATGTAAACCCACTTTGTGTCCTCTGTCTCACACTCCTTGACTTTAGATGGAAACCGATATTCTTATTCATCTTTGCTTCTTGAGACAAAGCTGCCTCCTCCTTAAGTGTCAAGTGTGAGCAGCTACTAGGGTCATATACCAGGGTCAGTGTTGGCCCCTATGGCCACAGCGTAGCTGGACAGTACAGGCTGGGGAAAGCCCTGTACAGTGACGGACTTTGCTGGGCCTGCACCCTGAGGTCAGGAGATATTTTAAGCTAACTAATCCTAAGCAGGGACCCACTTCCTAAACAACAAGCCTCTGGCAACTCTATGATTTTAGAGAAATGATTATAGTTATAGAATAGGGTTCAGGTCTTTCGTTCATAGGGTCACTATGAGTCGTGCTCGACTTGATGGCAATCAACAACAACAACAACAACAATAATTCTAAGGGGATGGAGATCTGGTGGCCTAGTGGCAAGAAGCTGTGCTGCAATCCCAAAGGCACACAATTCAAGGCCACCACCTGATCTGTGGGAGAAAGATAGGCAATCTCTTCTCATGTGATTAACTGCTTCTGAAATTCCACTAGAGGGTCAGCTGTGGGTGGTTTCCGACTCTACAGTATATAACAACAGCAACAGCAGCAGCAATCCTAAGGGGACCTTCCTTATCATAACTAGAAAGCAGACCAGTCAGCACTTTGGAGCTTACTGACCCAGGACCCATTTTCTTTTCTCTTTGGCAGGGTTGATAGATGCTACCCTGCCTCTCAGGGTGGTTTTGGGATCTGTGGGGGTGGGGATAGGGAGGAGTTGTTGTAAGTGCCATCAAGTCATCTATGACTCATTGCAGCCCTATTGAACAACAGATCCGAACTTTGTCCCACCCTGTGCCATCCTCATGGTATGATGGAGCCCACTGTTACAGTCACTGTGTCAATCCATCTCTCGTTGAAGGTCTTCCTCTCTTGCTCTGACCCTTTCACAGCAGGATCTCTTTTTATATGGACTATTGCCTCCTGACGACATGCCCAAAGTATGTGTGATGAACTTTTACTATCCTTACGTTTTAAGGAGCACCCTGGTTGCACTTCCTCCAACACAGGTCTGTTTGTCCCTCTGGCAGTCCATGGGATATTCAGTACTCTTATACAACACCATAATTCCAAGGCATTGAGTCTTCTTCTGTAATTCTTATTCATTGTCCAACTTTCAGATGCATAGCAAGTAGTTGAAAATAGCATGGCTTGGATCAGGTGACTCATTGCTTGTTAGCAATTTGGAGAGTTCCTTGACAGCAGATTTTTTCAGTGCAACATGCCTTTGTACAAAAGTAGATGCCACCCAGGGTGGAGTATTGGTGTGTCTTCCAGCCAACATCCTCATCTGTGGTGAAAGCCCTCAGTTGGGCTCAACTGCAGGGCCAGGAATCTTCAGGCCACTCCTTGCTGTTTGTGAGGTCTGTGTGCACCTTGGAGAAAAAGATAATTTCATTTCTTATTTTGGTTTCTCTTTATCCAAATGCCCAGTATTCAGATCCAGTACTGGTTCCCCACTCTCTCCATTCTCTGCCCAGCTGGGCTCTGGTGTTACTCTACAGCCCTCAACTTTGACTCTGGATTTTGTTCCAGAAAAACTTTCCCAAGATAAACTTTCTATTGTTATTATTGTAATAGAAAAACCATCTTTTATGGTGTGGAAAAACAGGTAGAAAGAACATAAAAACCAATTTTACCTAGAGAGAACCACAGGCAGCATCTTAGTGTATGTCTCCAGATCTTTCATTGCATAGGTATGTTTCCTAGCTTGGGAAAAATATTTTAGCAGTATATTCTGAACAGTATTATAGGAAGGTCCATCAACAATCTGCGTTATACAGATGACACAACACTACTTGCTGAAACTGAGGAAGACCTGAAGCACTTGCTGTAGAAGGTCAAGGACTGCAGCATTCAATATGGATTGAAGCTCAACATCAGGAAAACAAAGATTCTCACCACTGGGCCAATTGTATCAGGATAGACAATGAAGAAATTGTGATTGTTAACAGCTTCAGTTTGTTTG